GTTACCTGTTTCTGATGCAGAAAAGCTAGTTCATGCATTCATGACCTCTAGACTGGACTATTGTAATGCACTGCTAGGTGGTTGTCCTGCATCTTCAATAAACAAGCTACAGGTATTCCAAAATGCAGCGGCTAGAGTCAAAATATAATCACATTACCCCAATTTGACAGTCTCTGCACTGGCTACCTATTAATTTCCGTATCAGTTACAAAATATTATTACTTGCCTATAAGGCCCTTAATGGGTTAGCTCCTGCATACCTAACTAGTCTTCTACCACGCTACAATCCATCACGCTCCCTAAGGTCGCAAAACTCTGGACTTTTGGTAGTACCTAGGATAGCAAAGTCCACTAAAGGAGGTAAAGCGCTATACAAATAAACTTGAATTGAATTAAATATAAATGTCTCTGCGGTCTTTCCCCATTCTGGTTAGGTGCTGTACACATGACTAGAAATAATACATTTTTTAATTGCAAATATGGCCTCTGAGTGAACAGACTTGCTTTCAAGGGACTTTGGAAAAACATTGCAAAATGTTTTCGTTTTCCTCAGAGGCACTGAATTAAACAACATAGCAAGATGTAACCAAAGGAGTTGCTGACATACTGAATATCATTGGAAATTGTTACACCAATACAGGTAGATTTTCTGATATCTGGTCTTTCCCCATTCTGGTTAGGTGCTGTACACATGACTAGAAATAATACATTTTTTAATTGCAAATATGGCCTCTGAGTGAACAGACTTGCTTTCAAGGGACTTTGGAAAAACTGTTTTCGTTTTACTCAGAGGCACTGAATTAAACAACATAGCAAGATGTAACCAAAGGAGTTGCTGACATACTGAATATCATTGGAAATTGTTACACCAATACAGGTAGATTTTCTGATATCACCCTTTTATGTTTTGGCGATTCAGTGCAGCAGCCGTGGGTCTTCTTTTACAGACTACTACAACAGCACAGCAGCAGCTGAGGGAAGCATTCAGTCTGGCCTTCTCGAGAAAGGGCTTCTCCTAAAGCCCGGGATACACTGCACGATTTTAGCAATCCTATAAGATCATTACTTTATCACACTGTGCGACATGGATCGTTTAAACGTGGGTAGGACAAGCATGTAGACTGTACGATGATGACACCTATTGAATCGTAGGCTGCGACACACGCTAGCGCAATGTCATCAGCATGCGCTAGTGGTAAACAAATGTGGTACATCAAGATGGATCGCGCTTTGGCAGTTGTGCTTTTCATGTGTGCTGAAACAAAGAAGAGGCACCGGCAGAAGAGGGCAATATGGACCCGCTCATGACTCGGGAAAAAGAGGACAACTTGGGATGCCAGTTTTGCACAGGGAGCTTGGCAGCTGCAGTTCCTTTTTTTGGTGCGGTCATGATAGCAGCTAGAGGACACATCGTACAAACATGCCCGCTGCTGCCACAACTCAAGAATTTGTTCTTTATGGGTATCCCACATACCAGTATACATTCTACTTTTTTTTGCCTCCATGGCATTGAAATTATAGCGCCGCTGGTCGCGTGGATCAATGTCATTTCATGTTGTAATTTCATTGGCTGCTGAGTAGACGCAGGTCATTGCAGCAAACACAGAATTTGTTCTTTATCGCTGGTCACGTGGATCAATGTCATTTCATGTTGTAATTTCATTGGCTGCTGAGTAGACGCAGGTCATTGCAGCAAACACACTGTGCGTTGATCATGCTGAATTTCTGACACTGTCAGAAAACTATCGTAGGCTATCTTTAGTCGCAAGACCGGGAAAAAGCCCGTCTTTGAACCTCTCTCACTGTACGACATAAGACCAGCGATTAAGAGCCACGATCACAGAAATCGCCACGATTGCTTCACGATGGCAATCTTTCGTCTGGGACAGCCAAAAATCGTGCAGTGTATCCCGGGCTTAAGGGGAAGCTGCCAGCTCTAATCCCAGTGGCCCAGCGTTAAGTGAACTGTGCTGTGTTGCCATGTTTGACGCTCAGTGGCTAACCACAACCTGCCTCCTCACCAATGACAGACTTCACACCCAGCAGTCAGTGGTTTGTGAAGGAGGCACGATGCCGGTGGTGACGAGCCCTCTGCGAGTGACTGCGCCATGCGTCAAGATGGCACATAATGACTAGGAACCACAGATTTTCACTGCCACAGAAACCGCGCTGACAACACAAGAACTCGCTCTTCATTAAAAACAGGAAGTGGAGGAAAAACTATTCAACAAGCACAACAGCAGTTCACCGTTATTTGCTTATAAAGGACAAAAAAAAAAACATTTCCCACATCCAAAAACTCAATTAATGTACATTAACACCTCATGACTTCCAACAACTCAAGAATTTGTTCTTTATCGCTGGTCACGTGGATCAATGTCATTTCATGTTGTAATTTCATTGGCTGCTGAGTAGACGCAGGTCATTGCAGCAAACACACTGTGCGTTGATCATGCTGAATTTCTGACACTGTCAGAAAACTATCGTAGGCTATCTTTAGTCGCAAGACCTTTCTCACTGTACGACATAAGACCAGCGATTAAGAGCCACGATCACAGAAATTGCCACGATTGCTTCACGATGGCAATCTTTCGTCTGGGACAGCCAAAAATCGTGCAGTGTATCCCGGGCTTAAGGGGAAGCTGCCAGCTCTAATCCCAGTGGCCCAGCGTTAAGTGAACTGTGCTGTGTTGCCATGTTTGACGCTCAGTGGCTAACCACAACCTGCCTCCTCACCAATGACAGACTTCACACCCAGCAGTCAGTGGTTTGTGAAGGAGGCACGATGCCGGTGGTGACGAGCCCTCTGCGAGTGACTGCGCCATGCGTCAAGATGGCACATAATGACTAGGAACCACAGATTTTCACTGCCACAGAAACCGCGCTGACAACACAAGAACTCGCTCTTCATTAAAAACAGGAAGTGGAGGAAAAACTATTCAACAAGCACAACAGCAGTTCACCGTTATTTGCTTATAAAGGACAAAAAAAAAAACATTTCCCACATCCAAAAACTCAATTAACGTACATTAACACCTCATGACTTCCACTGCAACAATAAAAGGCATCATTTTGACAACTCAACTCTTGTGCACAAGAAACTCGTCCAAATCTCAAACTCGAGACCTATGGATTTCACGAGCCACTTCATCGGAAAGTGCAATTATGAAAGATGTCTGTCGAGAGAGGGGAAAGAATGTACATTAACACCTCATGACTTCCACTGCAACAATAAAAGGCATCATTTTGACAACTCAACTCTTGTGCACAAGAAACTCCTGTCCAAATCTCAAACTCGAGACCTATGGATTTCACGAGCCACTTCATCGGAAAGTGCAATTATGAAAGATGTCTGTCGAGAGAGGGGAAAGAAAAGCCTTGTTCCAGGCATTAGGCTCATAATGGCTGGCTACTGGAGCGGACAGAGAGCCCCTGCCATGTCCTCTCATCCTGTCGAAGCACATTATGTCAACCGCTCCACAGGACTGATGGTGTTTATGATGGCTAGAGTAAACCGGCCTGTCGGAGCCTCTTTCCCTGGCAACCAGGTCATGTAGTGCTACAGTATGAGGCATCTACAAATTTTAAGTAAATATTTCATATTTTAAATTGCATTTAATGGTCTCAAGTGTGGAAATCAAATACTTTGCACCTAAATTCAACATTGCTCTAGCTGGAACACCACATATTTGGTGCTAATGATTAAAAGAATCCTTACAATTATTTCAAATAAATCCAATTTGACAGATCAAAGAGATAAAACTTGAAGTGAATGAACAATTTCTGTTAGATGATATAAAAGCTTTGTTGTCGTCAGAGGATGCTGTTTGACATCCCCACAGAGCTACACAAACACGGTTTTGGTTTCCTAGGCGAATATCGTGAGTCACTTTTATTAAAAGCATCATTACTACAGTTGGCAGCAATTTACAGTTCATCATACATGATGGTTTCAAAAAAAAGAAAAAAAAAAAGAAGAATACATTTACAACATTTATGTCTGTAAACTTCAAGGCTAGTTAGAATTGAGGTAATGCTGTTCAGCTTTGTGGCTAAAGTAACAAAAGTCCATTCAAATAGATAAAGGTACCTGATTTTATTCTTACACCAGTGCATTAACATGGATACAATGAGACAATTTGACTGCAGTAATTTCATGTCGCTTTTTCACACTTTCTGGTGTTTAGTCAAAAGAGTAAAACTGAACATTCAAAAGCTGCCTTCGTTATTGCTGTCTCCACAGGTCGAGAGGTCTCCTCACCCGTTTGGATTGTCAGTGAGAGACTGGGAACAGTCCGAGTGTAGGCTATGATATGTGAGAACTTTGCCCGCTCCTCTCAGCAGAACAGTACAACGAAAACCACGATTCTTCCTCAGCAGCAGAGTGTCTTAATGCCGTTAAATTGTACATCACTGAATATTACAAGATGCTACTCATTGTTACAATATCAACAGTAGAGAGAGGGAAAAAAAATTACAACAAAACAAAACAATAATATTACAAGTAGAGAGCAGCATAGCACTATCGGAACGATTAATTCCTATAATATTTAAGGAAATTTCCATCTCATCTAGAAGGCACCCACACAGTGCCAAAGACTTCAAGGAAAAAATACAAATAAAAACAAAAAAAGTAAGGGAAAACAGGAAAAAAACAACAACACCCTTTTGACATCCGCACAACTGTTCACGTCATCCCTGGCTATGCTAATGGTTACAGAGACAGCTTATTTGCTTTCCTCTTAATGTTACCCGTCAACAAAAACCAAACGACCAAAGTGTTTTGGATATTGAGTTGGCATGTAAACAGCTGGACTAACCATTCTATCAAGAGTTCAGTCTGTGTCACCTCAGCCCTGGGGAAATGTTAGAAGGCCTGATTCAGTAGAGGTCTCCTCACCCATTTGGATTGTCAGTGTGAGAGACTGGGAACAGTCAGTGTAGGCTGAGATATGAGAGAACTTCGCCCGCTCCTATCAGCAGAACAGTACAACACCACGATTCTTCCTCAGCAGCGGAGAGTGTCTTAATGCCGTTAAATTGTACACCACTGAATTTTACGAGATGCTACTCATTGTTACAATATCAACAGTAGAGAGAGGGAAAAAAAATTACAACAAAACAAAACAATAATATTACAAGTAGAGAGCAGCATAGCACTATCGGAACGATTAATTCCTATAATATTTCAGAAAATTTCCATTTCATCTAGAAGGCACTCACACAGCGCCAAAGACTTCAAGGAAAAAAAAAAAAAGGAAAATACAGGGGGAACCCCCCCCCCCCCACCCCAACCCTTTTGACATCCTAACAACTGTTCACGTCATCCCTGGCTATGCTAATGGTTACAGAGACAGCTTATTTGCTTTCCTCTTAACATTACCGGTCAACAAAAACCAAATGACCAAAGTGTTTTGGATATCGAGTTGGCATGTAAACAACTGGACTAACCACTCTGTCAGAGTTCAGTCTGTCTCTCCTCAGTCCTGGGGAAATGTTAGAAGGCCTGATTCAGCTTTTTAGTCACTCTTGTCATCCTCATCAGCAGGGTCATCCTCCTCCTCCTCCTCCTCATCATCATCCTCCTCCTCATCATCCATTCCACCCTCCATGGAGTCCATTTCCTCTGCCGGCCCTGCCAGGTCATCATCTAGTACTGATGAATCTGCAGTCTTGTTCTGGCTCTCCTCTGAGTCACTGTCTTCAAGTGTGTTGTTAGCGGTTTCCATGTCAGCTGTGGAAGCGTTCTGGTCCTGATTTGTGCGGGGCCCTTTACCGGAATCCTTGTCCTCGCCGGTGGCCCCAAAGGCCCCGGACACAGCACTCTGTAGGTCAGCTAGAGAAGCTTGGGGGAAGCCTGGAATGCCCAGGCCACCCAAGCTGGGGGGTAAGAACATGGATGGGTAGAAGAGGCCTGGGGCCATGGTGGACAGCAGGAAAGGGTTGAAGGCCAGCACATTGGTGGACATGCCGGTGGCCGCAGCAGCGACTGCTGCATTCAGCGCAGCAGCATCACTGGTTGCCTCAGCAGACTCCATTTCATTCGATTTCTCTGCTTCCTTCTCTTTCTCATCTCCTTCGTCCTTGGTTTCCTCATCAGTCTTCAGCTTGGGATTCTCCTCAGAATCGGCATGTTCTGTGCCAGATGCGCCATCGGTGGCCGTTGCAGCAGCAGCCAGGCTTCCTCCAAACAGACTCCCCAGGCTGAACATGTTGGGGAGGCCACCCATGCCAGGAAGCATGAGAGGCAGCATGGTTGCAGCGTGCTTGGTGTCTGCTCCCCCTCCGAGAGAAGCGGGAAAGCCCATGAGGCCAGCAGCCAGCTGGAGGCTCTGGAGGTTCTGCAGGCCCTGCAGACTGGTCAGGTCCATACTGCCAAACAGCCCATTCATCAGCAAAGGATTAACGCCAGACGTGGAAGCCACTGCTGAGGCTGCTGCCTGCGCTGCTGCGGTCACCTTGGCGATCTCAGATTTGGGTCGCCTGCCTCTACGGCGCACACCCTCCTCTCTGACTACTGGCCCAGACAGAAGACGGTCAAACATGGACTCTGGGAGAAAGCCCTGGAAACAAAAAGAAAACAATTTAAATATATACAATAACAATGAAAAGTGAGGGGTTAGGAAAAATGTTCTCATGTTTTTAATGAAGTCTATTAGGCTCCATTTATTTGATCAAGAGTACAATAAAAACAGTAATCGTCAAATACTACATTTTAAAATAACTTTTTATTTTAATATATTTCAAAATCTCATTTATTCCTGTAACGGGAAATCTTTAGTCAGTCTTGAGTCACATGATCTTTTAGAAATAAATAGGCTGACTTACTGCTCAAAAAACATTTGTTTTTATTGAACGTTACATGCTTCTCAATGTTTCAGTGGAAATGTAAAAAAAACAGCATTTATTTTACATGGAAATATTTTATAATATTACAAAACGCCCTTAATGTCATGTGTGCTGAATGTATTTAAAAAAAAACAAAAAATTTCTTACTGAACTCAAACTTTTGAATGGTAATAGTATACATTATAAATATTTTAAAAACAAAGCAATAACCAATTTGATACATACCAATTACTAAGAGTTTAAATGACCAAACAGTGGCTAAATTGATCTGAATTCACTCATTCAAATAAAAGACGCACCGATTGCTTCACAATATCCGTCCAGTCAGGGGCGATAGCAAATTCTGAATTTTCAACCAGCCAGCGGGGTAAATCCTTCATTGGAGGGGCCATGGCTCCTCCCATCTGTAGTTATACAAATTATAAACGTTACCGCGAGTGTAAAGATTATTTTGAGGGGAATAAACTTAATCCATTCATAAACCTGAATACTTGCCTTTCTTCCATTCCTAATGTTAACAACAGGGACTCTCTCCTCTCCAGTCAGCGTATTAATGTCGATCTTGTTGGGATTGCGGCATCTGTGTCTTTTCTGTTTGGGCTTGGCAAACGGAGAGAGGAGGTCCTCATTCTTCTAAGAACAAGAACAAGAACAAGAGAACACTGTAAGATAAAATGCACAGGACATTCCCACATCAGCCAACAAGGTGGGCACAAAAAACTGCACTCACTGGTACGTATCCAGGCATATTCATAGTGTAAGTGGGGTGCTGTCTCAGCCACTCCCGTAGGTCCTTAGTGCTGGGTCCATCTTCTCCTGTAAGATGGCTTCCCTCTTCCAGGCCTTCAACGGGGGCCTTATGTGCAGGAGATGACATGGGTCTATGTGCCCGCCCATCCACAAAAGCTTTGGTCCCATCGGAATTTTCCTGTAGATGCAAACGAACAGAAAATTAGAAAAATAAGTGTTTATGTGCTTAAAAGGTCTATAAGCCACATGAAAATGGCATCACATCCTGACAGGATACGTACCGTATTGAGTTGTCCTCTCTTGTTTCCCATAAAGAGCAGTTCCAACCCCTCCACATTTTTCCTGCGACCTCGCTTTCTCCGGTTGGGGAGTTCAGTGTCAAGCAGAGAGCCGTTGGCTCTTGGTCTAGAGGAAGCGCCTGCTTGCAGCAGCTCCATCTGTGCTTTCAGGGCTGCGGAGGAGGCCATGGCCCCAGGGAAGGCAGAGGAAGAGCTGGACACGCCGTGCAGGGCCTTGGTCAGGTCTATGGCCTGTGCTTGGCCTTCTGCAGCATGGGACTCTCGTAAGTGAGCGACCATCTCCATCAGGTTCCTGCGCTTGGCAGCACGCTCTGCCTCAATCTCCACCTTCCTCCTCCTGCGTCTGCGCTGCCGAGGTACTGACAGGCTCAAAGCATCATCCTGGACAAGAACAATGAGAGGGTGCTTAACAAACATAACTATTAAAATCAATTTTATAATGTTAAACTACTTAAAAGACAACAGGAGCATCAGCACCCATGGGGGCACAGCAGGCTGGGTTAGAGGCGGGACTTGCCTTGTTGACCTGTGGTGACATGGTGAGGTCCTCACTGCCACTATAGCTGGTTTGACCCACCATTGAGAGATCACCAAGACTCCGCCTCTGCAGGGGGCTGTCTGTTGCCATGGAGCTGTAGCCAGGCAACAGGCCTGGTAAGTCAAAGAAATGCCTCCTGTTGGAAGGCCACTTGCCCTTCATGACCGCTTCACAGATGTTGTCCATACGATTGATCATTACCCTGTCCTAAAGTACAAACACAGAAGAGCAGCACAAGTGTAAGTGAGTGTGTGCACGTGGGTGCATACATAATGAACTAGAGAGTACAACAAAGGGTATCTAATTTTCTTCAATTCAGCTCCGGTTTCATATCCCAAGAATCTTATAATGCAATTTTGCTCGGTTATTAAAGGAGGAAGCTAAGTACGGTCTTTTCACTCTGCATTACATCATGTTTTCCTCAAAGCTTTGGGCTTGGCTTCATTTAATTTCAAATAACTTACTACATGCTAGAAGAGGGGGAAAATGGAGATAGAATCTGAAAGTTAATCTGAAAAAATGTAAATTGATTTGACAAAAAAGGAAAGGAAATTGTAAATGAAGTGGGAAAAATGGTTTAACTAACCTTGGGCCAGAAGGAGTACAGTGAACGTTCACCGAACATCTGAGAGGCTGACGGTTCAACATCATCAATGCTGAAACAGTCCCTGGTCTCATCACGGGCTGTGCTCAAGGAGGCGTTACTCTCCTCATCGAAATTCTTCCTCTCAGAGGCTGTTCCAGCTGCAAATAAAAATGATCTTTTAATACAAGCTAGACTGCAATAAGGCTTCTCAAATCAAAATCCATGCAGTTTTTTTTTTTGTTGCCAAATACAGTATCTTGAAAAGGTCAAGTGTGTAATTTCTTTATATCCCAGCATAATATGAAGAGAAAACTGCATAAAATTAGTTGATTTCCCCCTCCAAAATAAATACAGTAGCTCACAGAAGTGAGTACACCCCTCACATTTTTGTAAATATTTTATTATATATTTTCATGTGACAACAATGAAGAAATTATGCTTTGCTACAATGTAAAGTAGTGAGTGTACAGCTTGTATAACAGTGTAAATTTGCTGTCCCCTCAAAATAACAACACAGCCATTAATGTCTAAACCGCTGGCCACAAAAGTGAGTACACCCGGAGAGACTGTGCGCTCCTCCACCTTCCATTTGAGGATGCCCATGCTTGGCCAATCTATCACCTTTACCCTCAGCTTCTTTAGCAAGGCAGTGGTCGTCTTGGAGGTGTGTTTGGGGTCGTTATCATGTTTGTCGTCACATGAAAAGAAAATATTTACAAAAATGTAAGGGGTGTACTCACTTCTGTGAGATACTGTAAATACTTTCAAAATATTACTTTTTGAGCATCCTGACTAGCCAACAAAGTGACATTGGCTCATTAAGTGGAGTAAATTTGGGGCAGGATAATCTGTACAACCAATGGAATATACAGGGAGAGTGTATACAGGAAACATATATGAAAACAATTTCTGCAGTTCTGATTGGTGCCAGCCATCTTTAGATATTTTATTGGGAATTTTAAGCTAATTTAAGGTGTTCCAGCTAAATAAAATGAAAGAGGATGGAGTGGATTTAGTCTAATCCTAGATTTAGTAGCAATTTAAAGTAATTAAAGAAAAAGCTTGGGCCAAAACAGTTTTGATTTGTTTTTTGATCATACAAAAAACTTTTGGGCATGTTTCTGATGCAGACACAATAAATGTAGTGTTAAAGGAAATAAAATATCAAATAGGGTTGGGCCGAAAGACAATGCCACTGTCGATGGCTGACAGACCTCAAGATGTTGAGCCGGCATT